AGGGCGAATGTGCTGGCCATCGAGCATGTTAGTCGATAGTTATGGAAATACTGGCCTAATAGGAGAGTCACATAACGAAGAAAGGGGTTAAATATTACTCCATGGGAGTAGTTTAGCGTCTGTTCCTCGTTGCCAATTTACTCGCACTTCGGTACTGCGCAGCTCTATCTATTTGGGTTCTACTCAGCTAGTAAAGTGTAGCAGTAGAGAGTATCACATATTCACATAATTGACATTTTCACATAGGTATCGTTGACAGATCCGTAACAAGTTTATCCAGGCAGTTCATGGCTAGGTTTCCTGCAGACGGCGGAATTAAGTAGTTACCGGAGGTAGATGTCATTCGCAACCCTTTTGTTAGGAGTTGTCACATATTCTCTCGGCTGCAACATGTGCCTTCGTTTTTTAACGCTAAAAATTATCGTTCAGCATTAGAAATCTTAATCTTTGCTCTTTAAGACAGGGTTTGCAATCCGCTGCCACAAATTTAGCTCCCTGAGACTTCCCTGAAGACGAGCGAGGAAGTCATACCGGAGCAGAATATGCGAATTCCATCCACAGAAGGGCTTAGAGGCCACTAGCACCGCCCAAAGACCAGGCCGCCTGGAAAGGTACAATGGCAGAATGCCCAAGTGACCCATTCCCAAGAAAGGGAAGTTAAACGAGAAATTGAGATATTATATTTGCATCATGGTTCAGAAGATCGGATACTGCCACCTATTACTACAATAATAGTTTGAAATCCTATTAATGCTAATTCAGCAGTTAAAATAGCACATTTTGCAAAACAAATAAATGTATTTATTTTTTACAGCCTGCCAACGCATTTCCTCACTTATCCCAGCGTTCACGTACAACGTGGGAAGTTTTGTCAGTGCAGCTGATGCAGTTCAGTGACAGCCTGCTTATCCATTGTTACTGAGGTGCCGATCTCTAAAATGCGCTTCCAGGGACTCGAATTAATGGAAATTGCTTGAAATGAGGACCGATAGTTAAAAGAGAAGTGGAAGTTCTTATGCCTGTTACATTAGCATTGCGGCTGCGAATAGCATGAGCGCTTGCTGAAATCGGTCTCGGGATTCAGCTCTAGCACGCTTTAAAAAATTTAAGTGTTTTTTAACGATTTTGCTTATTTTTTTCACATAAGGACTTATCTTTTGTGTAGTTTCATGCCAGGTTATGCATCCAGCACACAGGAGTGGGTTGAGGACAACCTCAACCCGGATCTTCACTGACAGAGGCGGGGCCGTCTCTAAAGCATTTATGCCATTAAAATGTCTCACCACTGATCAGTTTAGCACCCAACCATTGTACTATAAGATAATTAACCAGTGTATTCTGGCATCAGCGATTTCAAGCTTGATGCGCTGTTTACATGTTTGCAGATACTACCACTGTTAATTGACGACGTTTGAACTGGTCCTCAACGAGAACTAGCGCAACCCACTTGTCGCTACGCACAGCACCGCAGAGTAAAAATGATAAAACGTTCCCTTTCGAACAGCCAAGCATTTAAGATTTTCAAATATAATTTCAGCCAGTCCAAAAGGGCATGATACTGAGCTTCGCCGACTGAATGCTAGGTGATAGAGGCAGCAACTATTCCCAGAGACCAAGTCACAGCGGAAAAGTGTAACATTAGCACATTTATAGTTCTTATTTAATCTTAGTTTGATAAAATTTGAAGCCAGCATATCGGTAACAAAATACACACAAAAATTTAGGGCATTCGACATATCGAAACACACCCTCGCACACACACGCATACACCCAGTGCAAGCAGATTGACCTAAGTGGCGACTGTAGAGCACATTTGCAGAAGCGGTGAGTAGTGTATGAGGGTCCCGCATGCTCGACTGCTATGTACTTGTGTATTCCCCATGCTGCTAGATGTATTAAATTAGGCTAGTAGCATTAAAATACAAAGTCTCTTTGATTGCCTCCACGTCAATTTGAGGCTCATCGGCAGCTCTAGGTAAAATTCAGATTTCTTAAGTAGAATATTTATTTCCCAAAGTGTGGTTACCTTCATTTGCACGAAGTAAGATAAATAATTCACCTATCTCCTACTACCTACTTACTAAACCTCTTTTGAATTCATGATAGGCTCACTTATATGTCAATTCACGATTTTCTTTCCAAAGTCAGCTATGGCAAACAGGCGATATATGATCCCGAACATTTCGTGATATCTATTCTTTAACTGAATAGTGTATTGCAAGCAGATTTGATGGTTTTAACCGAAAAGTATAAAAAGTGGCTTTCCTTCTGCAAAGATGATTGCAATTTGTTTAGATTTGGAAGGCCATTTGAATAGATCGATTCGGTAGTGGAAGTAGCCACATAAAGCAGCAATGTTTTAAAAGGTGTGTATTTAGAATTTCTACCATTTTATGCAAATAGTTTGACAAATGCATCTTAAAACATTATACCAATCTGTAGCTCTTAAAAGGAAATACCAGTTTTGAATGCGTTAAAGAAATACCGGAAGAAGACAGAGCACGTAATTAAATTAAGTAAATAATGTGTATTTGATGGTCTAAGAGATGCATCCTTCACGGTCTTACACTTTGAAGAAAATTTTTGTTTTATTTATTGTTAATCTATTTTACCTGTGTTGGATACGCACGAAGTGCGGGCTGTAAGGTACAGCTATAACTTGGATAGCGAAACCGCTTATTTTGCTTACTTAGAAGGTTATAGACTTACCCATGGCGGTGAAACTTCAAAACCGTGGAGATCAATTTTTCTTAAGGCCCTGATTTTGAATATGTTAAACCCCGTGTCAACGACATTCTAGTCACAGAAGATGTGGTGGGCAAATACCTACTTAAATATTTATAAGTAGACGGTAATAACGCCCAAATACGTCAGATTTCGTAATGGAGTGGTACGAGTGTTCTATACAATTTTCTGCCGTTAATATACCTCATTTTGGAGATTCAACCATTCATAATTGCACAAAAATAACAATGCATTCATTTTGCGTCATTGAGGACTCTCTTATATCCTCACAGAAACGCAATTGCAACACTGATTTATAGAAGGTTTTACTTGCAAAAGCTACCACAGTTTTCTTTTTTTTGGTGATTGCGTGGTACAGACATGGCGCATCTGCAAGCTCATAACATGGAACTCAAAACTTTGTTGTCGCTCACAATAATGACAAATAGCTTTTTCTAAAATCCGGCCAAAGTGGACTTTTCAGTATTTGTTTACGTTAATAAAGTAAGGAAATTCAGGGTTTCTAAAATCTAGTAAATTACAAAGTAAAATGGATTTTTTGGTGATTATGACCAGTTGGATGCAAAGTAGAATGATACGTCAGCTTATGATTACTTGTAATTACATTGCAGTGTCAAGGGTGTTCAAATCGCACGGGGACTTTTGAAATCAATAATGTAACTACGTTATTTCGTCAAACAAAACGCTATTTATTATACCGTCTAGATTTTGGCTTCCTTTTTTTACTTACTTTAGTGCTTACCTGGAAAATTTTGAAATGAAATAATGTAATAAAATTACGTGATTTATGGTAGTGGGAGGTGAATTGTCCAGGCATTTGCGTTAAAACGCTTCTAAAACTAAGTACAACACTAAATTTTTTGAATCGAGCTTGAGGTAACTTTCGGAAATTGCGAAAGTATATGAGTGATTGTATTTGCCTTTTTCTATTCGGAAGACGACTGGCACTATCTCTACATTGTAGAAAAATTAAGCCCAAAATAATAAAGGCGTATTGAACTGCAAATACTAATTACACAACTTTAATTTTATTTTTAGCATTACCTTGTTGAAAAGATTTTGATGCCTATGACATCAGGCGAACTACGTATTATTAATCATGACGTGCAAAACATTACATTCCAACCTACCCTGATAGCATATATGGATTAAATTCAAAGATTTGGGCTGTTTTGTAAACTACGGATAGTGTAATAGGTCAAGTGTTTGTTTAACTCCCGGTTTTGGTAAGGGGCGAGTAAGAATGCTCCGCCACGGTACTTTTCCAGGCAGCCAAGCCTCTGGGCCATGCCAGCAGACCTAAGCCCTACTTTGCCCGAGAACTGTGTCTTCGTTTGTCTTCAGGAGAGTCTAGGGGTACTACAATAAGAAGACGGGAACTGGACCTCTGAAATTTATCATTGGCGCTCATTTTCAGTAAATGGAAGAGTAAACATCACCAATCGCAAAACGTTCTCACTATTCTGCTTCTTTCACATCATTCGGAGAGTGCGGCTTTTGGATTACATGCTGTATAAGTACTCCCTCTTAACTTTTCACAGATGTAGCGGCAGATTAGAGGCTAAAAATAGATTGCGATGGCAAACTATACTTTAAATCAACCCTTGACTTGAATGCTAAAGTTGAGGTGGAGGATGTAGCACCCCGAGACTTTTCTGAAGAAGACATAATTTTCCGAGTAGAATATGTATTGCCAACATACAGAAGGGATTAAAGCTACTGGGGTGGTCCAGAAGACGGGCCTCTGGCAAAGACGCAATGGTGGAGCTCCTAGGCTGCCTATTGCCAAAATCAAGAGTTAAACAATCGCTTAGCGGATCGCAGGGGAATCCTTTATCTCTCGATGCGAGAAATTTTAACGATTGCATTGTATTACATGCTTCTTAGATTTTACTGCTTTAGCGACAAGCTATCAGTTTAAGCCAACCGCGTTATTGAGTGGGTGCCATCAATCTCGGAGGCGAAAATGTGCCCCAGTGCCCCTTAAACTTTGGAAATCCATCAGCAATCACCATAGATCTGAAATAAAGGATATCCCCCTTTACTAAGGCTTCTAGTTTTAAGAATATGCGCCCAGATGCGGGAGAAAGAGATGTTGTATCAGTTGCAGCTGATAATTCACCATAGAAATAACTAAAAAAAGCATCCCGATCCCTCATAGGCATCTCAATTGTTTCACTGAACGACTAACGAAAGCGATGCCAAGCGTAATTTTTACGTGGAGCCTGCCTTGGTGCATTTACCTACATGTACTTGATAAAGCGTAAAATTTTGAAGGCATTAGTAATAATAAATGTTCCTAAATGTCAATTCGTAAAAGAGGTGTAATCCGTTAATTTTTTGCGAACTCTCGGGGCGGGGGGGGGGGTCCGGCTATAGTACGTTCGCCGGGCGGCCTGGCATTCGGACCATAGCCGTAGCCTCAATTCCTTCTGGAAGTCTTGGGGGCGCCACAATAAGTAAATAGCTAGTAAAAAGGCTTATCAGTGCCACTAAAACTCAATAAAGCAGCTGATACTGAAGTTTAAGACCGACCGGGATGAGGCTCCTATTCTAGGCATTTTCCCTTTTCAATAAGGATTTCAGAATGCTGAATTCGAGAGCATTGGTTCCTGAAATATAATCTAGGACACGTAAATCGCTAACCCAAACCGAACCTTTTGGTACCCAAAAAATAAGTTCTCACTACTCTGCGGTGGTTATAGTCGATGCCATTGATAAAAGCACACACCTACATTTGAAACTTATTTATGTACTGGTGTAAAAGATTCCTTCATACATAGGTAGCTAATCATTTTCTCTCATGGTGTCACTTTGATAAAAAAAACCGACATGGTAATGAAATTGCAGGCCTTCTATGCCAAAAATAAGCAGGTGTCAACCTAAGTAGACATTAAAATAGCTCTTTCGTGTCCTTCAGCATACATTAACATATGGGTCAAAAATAAAGAAGACTTGTGATCGGGTTCCTCTACGGCAGTACAAACCCATGTGCGACTTTCGTTACGCGCTTCCAAACGAAAGACCCTAGCGGCCGTCTCAAAGCCGCTATCCAACGCTCAGACAGATTACACACGGATTATCTACTTGATTGGTAGATATTGTGAGCATTTGCGTGTGCACTGGTAGAACTGCAGCCAACCTAGATGGGCATAAAATGGCCCTTTCTTGTTCCTAATGCACATTTTATTGTACAAATCAAAAATATTGAATCTTGTGGTGCTTTTTTAGCAGTATAACTTTATTCATCTATCTCACTAATTGCTTTTAAAATTAATAGACCCTCACGGATATTGCCTCAAGGGCATTGGCTAATGCATACAGATATACCACAAACGTATGATATACTTGATTGGTTGATGTTCTGAGTATACATAGATGCACTAGTGGAGTATCGCATTAGAGTCGGGTTTCGACTACATGATGGAATCGCAGGCGGGAGTCAGTAGGAAAACATCAACGCCGTCGAATGAGGATCAGTTACTTGCTCCATCAATAGTGCTTACTCAGGTGCCACAGACAAGGTCTGCCGTGCCAAAGAGCATAAATAAGGAACTGGATGGGAGAGATAAATCGGCTTCAACAAATGGAAGTGCCTAGTTTTAATGATTTTCTTGATTTAATATGCCTTCCTTCTTCGACATTTTCACTTCCTACTGCCTTTCTCACAGATCCCACCGCTATTAGCTGTGAACTTTTCTCCAATGTGCCTTACAAGCACACAATATATTATTTCGTTAATTCCACATATTTAAATTACGTTTGTCAATAACTGTCGGTCCATTGTAGGCTGATGGTAGTGTTTCCGGGGAGACGAATGTGATGGACGACTTCATGTCTGGCCTATTGGGAGGTTTAATGCCGCGACCTTTAAGATGGTTATTTAAAACTTGCAGATGATTAAACTTAAGTATAAATACACGTTAAGTCTAGTCTTTGGTCTTTTGGCACGATTGAGCTGGGCTTTTGTTATGTCAATTTGTGAGAGCTACAGTTGTTGAGTCCAACGTAGGGAAGTAAGTTCATCAATACCTAGAATTATTAACACACCAAGAATAGTGCGTTCGAAATAATCCCAGTTATGAAGTGACCTGTACGTAACCAT